ACCTACATGCTGGTGGGAGAGGCAGGTCACTGGTAGCAACTCAAGTAGGCCACCATGCCGGTTCCAGTCACTTTGGAACAGTTCTTTATGGTCTCTAATACAAAATACCTCTCAAAGTATCTCCAGCATCTGAAGAAAATGGAGTTCGTATACCTGGTTCGAAGTGACATGACTGTATCAGAATATGCCTGAAAGTTCCTTGAGGTTGGCCGATATTCCCCTGAGAGCATGATGGATAAAGGCATAAAGACAAAAAAGTTCGAACGGGGCCTCTGTCTGAAATTAGACAACAGCTGTATGTGTTCGACCTCAATACTTAAGTCGTTCTGGCCAAGACACAGCTAGTGGAGATAAATCTTCCTATTTTTTCTCCAGCAGTAGAGAACCTCAGGCCCTCGATTTCACACTGCATACCAGCACCCACTGCACCTGTTCAGTAGAACAAGACACCTAGGCCAGTAACTCAGGCTCCTCCTCAGATTCTGATAACAGGATGCGGTAAGACTTGTCAGCACTACAGCAAATATCATGGGGACTAACCCTGCTATCACCTCAATAATATTTGCCATATATGTGGGAGTACCCGAGAAATCAAAATCAGACCAGACCTCCTATCTAGGGCAGGGCTTATAACCTTACTCAGCAAGATGCATAAACTAATCCAGACGTGATACAAAGTACATATATTATATGTAATCATCTTGCACATGTTTTGATTGATACTGGTGACTCACATTAATTTGTTTCACATACTTTTACATCAAACTTGAATGTATTACCTGAAAGACTTGATTCTATATTGTTTGTGTCTACTCTTAGGAGTATGACACTACTATGGGAGGTTATATACAGAGTCTGTATCATAGATATAACAAATAGAAAATTGAGTGTAGACCTAATAGAGATTGACACGGGGGACTTCGATGTAATCCTGAGAATGAACTGGCTAGTAGCGTATCATGCCACCGTAAATTATTTTCACAAAAAACTTGTATTCAACCCTCCTAATAAAGATTCACTTATAAATTAATAAAATTTCTTAAACATTATTCCTTCATGAAAATTTTTCTATTACTAAGTGCTTTAACTCGGTTATTTTCTTTAACTAGGCAAACATAAGAAAGAAATTTATATTCGAGAGATTTTGGTAGTTTGAGACTTTCTGGACGTGTTCTCGGATGAACTACCTAGACTATTAGTGGACAGAGAAATTGAATTCATCATAGATTTTCAGACAGACACCCAGCTTATTTTCGATTGTTCCTTACTGCATGAGTCGTGTTGAGAT